TTCCTCTTGTGTGGTTAGCAGAGAGAAATCCCTGCAAGATTGTTTTCTTTTCCTCTCTTCAATCACAATTGCTCTCTAAGCTGCCGTATTTACCTCCTCAATGCTCAATCTAGTGGGAGAAAGGTACATCTTTCAGTTGGTACATGTTTTTCCTTGCTGTGATTTGACCCTTACCAAATGCTAGTAGCTTAGTAGAGAGATGAAGTAAGAGCTGAGGAACGGCCTTAGTTAGCCTATGTGAAGGATTATCTACTTAGGTTTGGCCCTCTCTTAATTTAGAGAGTGGCTCCTTATTTCTACCTCTTTTGAAGACTCGGAGGTAGTGGTCCTACTTGTTCAGGTGCTTGATAAACATGGCGACCATCTTGAAAGAAAATCCTTCCACCAATATTTTATGGTACAGAGGGCAATGTAAAGATGGTGTTACATTTTGGAGTCTCAGCTTCTGTCAAGGAAGTGCAAATTCCTTCTCAAATCCCTTTTTCTCCCTTCCTACAGGTAAAACTGGCACTTTTTTTTTTGCTATTGCAGAAAGAATTAAAATGACATAAATAACATCGAAAAGGGTTATCTCACCCTTCTCAAGCCCTCTGTTCAATTCATAGCAAGGTAGGATTATAACTGATTATTGCCAATGTCACTTTAAGCATTCTGAGACTTCTAATCAGTATTTCTCATCCGTGGCAACTTGTAGATGTGCAAACGTCAACTTTCAGAATTTCCCAGCCAGCAGAGCCTGCTTTCCCATAACGGACTAGAGAATTCTGGGAGTGGAAGTCCATGTCTCTTTCAGCTGCCAAGGTTGAGGAACACTGCTCTAAGTTCTCAGCAGAGTACATTTAGGGTCACAGTTTTGCAGTATTGTAGAACCCTATTTTTAAAATGTTTTATTTTTTGTGTACATGTGTGTGTGTGTTCCTTTCTAATAAAATTTTCATATACCAGCAGCACCTGAAACCAACAAATACTGCATTATTTATGGACATTATTTGGAGAGAGAGAAAAGTAGTGTTAGATGTTAAAATTATCAAAGAAGCAATGTGATGTTAATGTCTTTTTTTCCTTTCTTTTTGTATAAAAGTGACCTTAGATTATGACAATTATAAAAATTAGCTGTTCTGTGATTGAAAAAAATATGTTGGTGACTTGGGGGTTCGTCACACCAGACCAAGGGATAATCTTTCCATAATTAAACTCACAGTGGCTTACTTAATATTCTTTCCTGCAACATTTGTTCTAGATGTAGTTACTTTCAAAGGTCCTCCCTCTCAAAACCAACACGTGCAAGAAAAAAACAAACAAAAATAAATGCATTTGTACCTTGCAAGTTTGTATAAAGCAAGTAAATAAAAAAAATGGATGGTTTATAACTAGATTGTGTGTGTTTATCTTTTTTTAATATGTAAGTGTAAAACATGAGAAAAGGAGGGATAGAAAGGTGTACTATATATACAGGGCGGGGCATAACCTTTTTCTAGGGGGTCACAGCAACACTTGTAATAACAACACAAATAATTCATACACCATTCGAAAGCCCATCAAAAACTGAGTTTATTGACACGATTTAATAGTCAGTATGACCACCATTAGCCCTTTGAACAGCATTCAAACGAGGTGGATAAGAACACAACAAATCTTCAAACAGTTCCGTTCGATTTTCCAGATTTTTCAACACAGTTTCCAAATTCATTCTCAAAGTTTCAACCGAATATCGATTTTGACCTTGCTCCTGAATCATCAGAGCTTCCACTTCATCCTTAATTATGGCCCCAATGTTCTCTGCCGGATTGAGATCTGGCGAATTTCCCGGCCAGACGTCATTGCCCCAAAATTCGACATTGTTTTCCTTTAACAATTGCTGAGTCGCATTTGCACGCATGCAAGGAGCTTTGTCATGAAGAAAGACAGCCTCACCAACCACCAAGACATTGTCTGGATCACTGAGAAATGGAATGACATTCTCCAATAACATTTTCTCACGGAAATAACTGCCATCCCAGGATTCCCCTTTATCCTTCAAAACCCAATGCAGTTTCTTGGCTGTGAAAATGACGAAAATCCCGATGCAAGTCGGATTGCGAACGATTTGTCAATATCGTTCATGTTTGGCGATGTCGTCGACGTCTTTAGCCCAAATTCGATCGTTCTGGAAATTCGGTTTTCGAATGGCATAAACGAAGAATTCGTCAGATGGCGCCAAATGAAGAAAATCTTCCTCGGTCCATTCAGACAACCAATCGCACAACCAAAGCCGATCTTGAACGTGTGTTTGAGTTTTCAATGGTTTGCAAATGACGTGGAATGGCTTCAAACCTTCTCGTTCTCGATATCGGCCGATTGTCCTTTGATCAACTCGTTTTCCACGAATTTGAAGGATTTCTTGGGCCACTTTTCGGTTTCCTTTTCGTTGTTTGCGACTGCCAGTTGCAATGATGGCTTTGCTTTCTTGGGACAGTTGCAGAGGACGCCCTTCTCCAAATTTTGTGAAACATTCTTGGGCTGTTTTGTTCCAATTATCAGTAACCCAATCCGGATGACGTTTCAATTTGTTTGCAATCCATTTTCGATTGATAAACGTCGCTCCAGCATCGCGAGCCTCTCGAAAGGCAATGCATTTTATTCTGTCAATGATCCTTTGTTCTTCCGAATCGAATTTTCCAGCCATTCTTAAAGCAAATTTAACATTTAATAGCTCATTCAATTCAGTTTTTTATGGGCTTTAAAATGAGGTGTCGCGGAAGTTGTAAACTGCTGTCGATCTTGCTGTGACCCCCTAGGAAAAGGTTATGCCCCGCCCTGTACTGTAGTTGTTCTCAGACTGTACTGTTCTCTATATTTCTATATATTTCAGCTGAATATGTATAGTTACATTTATTTACTTTTGAATTACTTTTCACTCACTGCAGTTGAAGGACTCTTGGAGGCTTACAACTCCATGGCACAGTTACATACCGTAATGAGAAAGAATAAACTGTCCATGCCCCCCGCCCCAATAAATCACCAATAAATACAATGAGCAAGAAGGAATATAAATCACAAATTTTCATCTCTTAATGACATGCCAGCAAATACATATATTAGTTGCACTCCTATCAGTATTCAAGGATGAGAACCTCCTTGTGTACCAAATCTAAATATAGAAACTATACTTTCTCAGTTATAGAGGAAGTGAGGCTCCAAAGTTAAATTACTATGGATGTTGAAACCATTATTATCCTATAGTACAGTTTTTACTCAAACACATCTAGTAATAATGTATGTGAAATTAATACAAGAAATTATTTTTTTAGAAATAATTGACTACACATTTCATGTATATATTGCTCTGCATGAGTCATTTATTTTCTTGCATTAGCTATTTAGTAAGAATTAATGTGATACATGTTCTTCCTTATAAAATATGTTTTGTGACTCACACATATGATGTAGATGTCCCTGGTAATTTAATTAGTTGCATAATGATGCTTTGTGCTGATTTCCTGGTCAAGAACCGAAACATATGTTTTTTGTAACAATATATCTGTGTATTAAAAGGAAATGCTCCTAAAGTACATTGGAGAGGGAAAAAATATGATATTTATATAGAAAAGAGAAAAAAGGAAAATGCTAACATGAAACAATTTCTGTCAGATAATTAGAATTTCATTTCATTTCATTTATTAAATTTATAGGCCGCCCAATCCCGGAGGACTCCGGGCAGCTTACGACGAAAGAAGGAAAAAAAGCAAAATAAGTAAAAAAAATAGTTTAAAATTCACAACACACATATGTTCTAATCGGGGCTGGACCTTAACACTAAGGTCAACAGCCAATATCTCAATATCCCCTCCTATTCCCTAGTAAGAAAGCTTTTTCTGATGCTTGTTTCCTGACTTCTGAGGGCTCCCTTACTAAAATATGCATTTGCAACTGTTATGTAGCAATTTATCATTCGTTGGATTGTACATTTAATCTTTACTTTTTTTAAAAAGTAATGATTGACAAAAAGTTAGACAAAAGAGAACATAGATTTGTATTAAAGTGGCATAGAATCACATTTGGAAATTGAAATTCTACTTAAAATATGCACATATGCTGTGCATCATATCACACTAGGGACAAGTTGGTTGTCACTCTCTATCCCAGGTTTTGCTTTCTCTTTCTTAAGGCTCATTATTTATCTGTTTGTTTAATTTATTTTAGTGTCCCACCATTATTATGCTTACAAATAACTCAAGCGGTGAAATATCCAACCCACCTCCCTCCTCCTATTTTTCCCCACAACACCAACCCTGTGAGGTAGGTAGGTAGGTAGGTTGGACTGAGAGAATGTGACTGGCCCAAAGTCACCCAACTGGATTTTGTTTCATATTACACCAACAGTTTGTCAGGCAGAGAACCGCCTTTAAAGAAGAGTCTGTCTTCTGATAATCATTCTGTCAGAGCAGCATTTCTCAACCTTACCAACTTTAAACTCTATAGACTTCAACTCTCAGATTTCCTCAGACAGCACTGAAGTCTTCAAGGGTTAACGTGGCCATGATTGAGAAACACTATATTAGATGATAGCCCTTGCAAGGTAGGACCCAAGCCATCCTACATCTTGTTTTCCAACTACAAAAAGGAAGCAATGATAACAGATCTTGGAAGAAAACAAAATCAAAGCCAGGGTTAAAGGGATTGGGGGGACGTGGTGGCTCAGTGGCTAAGACTCTGGGCTTGTCAATTAGAAAGGTCAGCAGTTTGGCAGTTTGAATCCCTAGTGTCGGGTAACAGAGTGAGCTCCCATTACTTTTCCCAGCTTCTGCCAACCTAGCAGTTCAAAACCACCTAGAAATGCAAGCAGAAAATAGGAACCACCTTTGGTAGGAAGGAAACAACGTTCTGTGCACCCTCGGCAATTAGTCATGCCGGCTACATGACTACAAAGAAGTCTTCAGACAGCACTGGCTTTTCGGCTTTGAAATGGAGATGAGCACCATCCCCTAGAGTCGGGAATGACTATCACATATGTGTGAGGGGAACCTTTACGTTTATCTTTAATGGGATTGAGGTGGGGAAGTACTTGAGATATTAAAGCATAAAAATATCGTACTTGCACAAGTAATGCTACTTTTTGCAGGATTATTTGGGAAATGCCTCAGAGCTTGGCCCAAGGACCTCTTTTTTTCTTGTTAAACACAGCTAAAGGCTGTCACTAGGCACCACTATCTGTTTCCTTTTGCAGATCCAGTTGTACAGGAAATACAAACTCTATGATTGTAATAACACTGCTTTCCTTGTAAAAAACTTCAATGAAGTCTCCATTGCAGAGAGGTTAATAATTTGCAAGATGATGCAGTAAGGGCAAAGGTCTTTCCAAGGTTCACTAACTGGGAAATTCATGGGAGTCTTGACAGCCAATTCTTTCTAAGCCTTCGGCAGCAAATATGTTGGAAATTACAGACCTTCAGAGTAAGTATGAACTTAGCAAATAGGGTTTGGGGAATCATATTTCAGCAATATATCATTGGTTTCATTCTGAAAATATAATCAAAGCTAATCATGGTGTCTGTTTGAAAGCTCAGCCCTTTTTAAAATTATGTTACTATTGATTGCTCAATTGACACATTTACCTATTTTGCTACAGGTTACAAATCTGCTTATGGGGAACAAGCTAAGTAAACCTACTTGCTTCTGGTCTCAGGAGACAAGTCAGATAACCTCATAGTGTCTCTAATTGGACCAATGATCTATCAGAGTATTATTTAGTGTAACCTGAAATGTATTCGTAAGAAGATGCTCTAGGTCCATGATGGCAAACCTAAGGCATGCGTGCCGGAAGTGGCACGCAGAGCCATCTCTCTGAGCACACCAGCCGTTGCCGGTTGCTCTTCCAGGTTTTGGCGCACACATGCCAGCTGGTCTTTGCGCATGTGGGAGCGCCAAAAACCAGAAGACCAGCTCCCTGGCGCACATGCATGTGACAGGAAGCTGAGCTTCTGGTTTCTGGCATGCATATAGGTGATAGCAAGCTGGTCTTCACATACACATGTGCACCAGAAACTGGAATACCATGTGCATGCCAGAAACCAGAAACTCAGCTTCCTGGTGCGCACATGTGCACCGGGGAACTGCTCTTCCAGTTTCTGGCAATATCCCCTGTGCACTTGCATGCTCTTGTTTTGGCACTCAGTGCCAAAAAAAGGTTCACCAACTCTGCTCTAGGATTATAACCAACAGACATTATAGATTTGTAGTAAATTGTCACCAAATATATTTGTCCCAAAATTGCTAATAATATGCATATCAGCTATGACCAACCTAATGTCTTTCAGATGTACACTAACTGGGAATTCTGAGTGTTATGGTCCAATACAGGTACAGAATACCAGGTTGAGCAAAGCTAATGTAAACTAATTTAAGTGTAAAGGGGTGTAAGAAGCAAAACTATGCACTGGCATTGATTTACACCAGGAATATTTCAATATGCTTAATGGAATTTATCTGGGTAAAAGAAAACCAGTGACAATAAAGGTTTATAATATTTTGTATTAAGGTTCATCATTCCAAACTTGGTACCGTAATTACAGCTGGTTCATTTTGGATCTGAACCAAAATAGAAGCTGGATTCAAAGATTCAAACTGATATTCTCACATGATCAAATTTTCTGGTTGAAAAGGTATTGGAAAGATGTGAAAGAAACTCATCTATATCCTCTAATGGTTAGGCAAATGGGGAAAACTATCTCATGCCTAAAGATTTTAGGGGAAGAAATTAGAATGAGACATGAAGGGTGGCATATAACCTGGATCATCAAAGGAATATGATGAAATTTGGACAATGTCAAAAATTCGAAAAGGGATGAATTTTATGTTGAGGCCACTATTGTACTTCAGATTTTGGTAAATACCCAATTCTGTGGAAAAGGCTCTAATGCTGGGAAAAGGAAAGGAAAGAGAAGGGTGGACTCAGCTAAAGGAGATGAGTGCTCTGTTGGGAGACATGAAAAAAACAGATTTGGGATCCATCATCTTGGAGAAAATCTACATGGTTGCTAAGAATAGAAAACAATTTGATGATTTCTAATCAATTAATCATCAATCAATCTACTAGTAAATCACAGAAGAAAGCAATGGCAAAATCTCTTCTGCAAAGAAAATCAAAGAGTCCATATATTCAACATCAGCTGGGTTTGAAATGAGAACAATTTCTATAAATGCCCTGTTGTGTTGAAAATTAAGCTTAAACTTTGCTTGCTTGGTTGGTTGGTTGGTTGGTTGGTTGTTTCTTTATTCAGTAGAGATAATCTGTTTTTTTTTTAAAAAAATGTATTTGAAAAAGATTGTACAAAATAATTAAAATTCTATAGTACATTACAGCAAAATGCTCTGACATTTTGAAGCAGTTTCCAGGAACCATCTGTAAGATGGAAGCAGCAAAGGAAGGGAAAGAGTTCGTTGTCACTAATACTTAAACTAATCATTGCAAATGGGCAATTAGAGCTGAGGTGGCGCAGTGGCTAGGGTGCAGTACTGCAGGCCACTTCAGCTGACTGTTATCTGCAGTTCAGCGGTTCTAATCTCACCGGCTCAAGGTTGACTCAGCCTTCTATCCTTCCGAGGTGGGTGAAATGAGGATCCAGACTGTGGGGGCAATATGCTGACTCTGTAAACCGCTTAGAGAGGGCTGAAAGCCCTATGAAGCGGTATATAATTCTAACTGCTATTGCTATTGCTAATTAGGAATTATTGAACTGTTTGAAAAAAGACAGATGCTTTCAAGTTTGTCCCCACACCTATAGATATGTGTCATTTAACAAGGGTAGAACTATGCTATGTGTACAGGGCTGCAGTAAGTGATGTTTCTTGTGATGAATATTTTTTTACATATGTTTTCCTGGAAGGAGGCTATGATATTGGGTTTTCAATCTGCAAAGCTAGCTCTTTTATTTGTAAATAAATAAGCAAGAGTTTAGTAATGTAGAATTGCATGGTCACTTTTCTTGCAGGACATTTTTTAAATCTTTGTTCAGCGCATCCATGTAGTTGGGCCTGGCTTAGAAGAATCTGATCAAGCAGGAAGTAGTGATAACAAAGCATCCTGCGAGAATATTGATTATAAATTGTAATTAATGGCTAACATTCAGGTGTGAACTGGAATTATTTAAAAGGATTGTACTAGCTTGCTTTCTTAAGGGAGGATGTTCTAAAACCTTGAAACCACCAAGCCGTCATCTGTATATAACCATGATGGTGAACCAGAGGTGGCACGTAGAGCCCTCTCTGTGGGCATGGGCGTCGTCGCCAGCAGCTCTTCTGGTTGTTTGGCTGGTCTTTGCGGGCACCGGAGCACTGGAAAACACTCCAAAAACAGCTCTCAAAACAGCCAAAAAACAGATAGCTGTTTTGGCTGTTTTCCTGGCCATTTTTTGCTACTGTTTATTAAATTTATTAAATCTGGCCAAAAACAGACTGTGAAACAGCCTTAAATAGCCAAAAAACAGGCATATGTGTGTAGGCCAACTGGTCTTCGGGTTTCTGGTGCTCTGGCACGCATGACGACCTTGTGCCGGAAAGCTGAAGACCAGCTGGCTGGGGCGCACATGCACACTAGCCAGCTTGTCTTTGGGTTTTCGGCACACACACACACACACACACACACACACACACATGCACACGTGTTCCGGTTTGGGGACTCAGTGCCAAAAAGGTTTGCCATCACTGATCTATAAGGTGCCCAAGGGATTCTGGATGAGCTCTTGCCTCCAGGCCTCAATGGTTGAAAAAAATGTAACCTGAAATGAGCCAGCAGTCCTTCAGCTATCTTGAGCACCAAAATCTTTTCCTTCCACTACATTCCAGGTAATCCTAGCTCTCCTCAATTAGGTGATCCCTTAAGATTGCTGTGATTCTGATGGTACCAATTTCATCTATTGTAGAAATTGGTGTTGGGCTTGTTGGCTTTGGGATGTTCTTCCTCCTGTTTGGTGTATTGTTGTACATGGATTCAGTGCTTTTGGCCTTTGGAAATGTAAGTATTTTTTAAAGTGTCAAATATTTTGTGCAAAAAGAAATAAAAGACAGTGAGTATAATAAAATAATAGACTGATTTTTTAAAGATATATTTTTATTATTTTTACATTTAAAACAATGCAGTACCGCAGAGTCGAAGTGACCCTATATTCACATTATATACAATTAGTCTCAACCATTAACTATTAGCCTCCTTAGTGCATTATCTATTCTTCTGTCCAATCACAATATATACAGTTTGTTCCAGTCTTGTCACCTTGTCTTATACCGTCATCAAATCTGTTCCAGACTTCAAAATATTCTGATTCCCCTTTATTTTTAAGTTCAAGAGGGAGCCTATCTGCTTCTGCACAGGCCAACACTTTTCTGATTATATCTAGCTCTGATGGTGTATTTTCTTTTTTCCAATACTGCGCAAAAGTTATGCGCGCCACAGTTAGTACATGTATAATTAGATAGAGTACATTTTTCTTAAACCCCTCTGGTATTATGCCTAGGAGAAAAATTTCTGGTTTAAACAAAATTTGATCTCCCACCATTTGTTCCAATCATGATTGAATCATTTTCCAATATCTTTTGGCCTCATTGCATGTCCACCATATATCATAAAAAGTGTCTAGTGTTTTTTTTTTACACTTCCAACAATTTGGGGCCAGATTTTTAAACATTTTGGAGAGCTGTGCTGGGGGGAGATGCCATCTGTAGAACATTTTATAAAGATTTTCTTTATACGCCATGGCCAATGTTAGTTTCCGATTAAGTATCGAAAGTTTTTCCCATTTAGCAAATTCCACATTATAACCAAAATGTTTCACCCAGGTGACCATAGTTTCTTTGACATGTTCTTCCTCAAGTTTAAATTCCAATAAAAATCTATACAGCACTTTGATAAACTTGTTTTTTGTCTCTATCAAAAGTTTATCTAACGCTGTGTAATCTTTAGCAATACCTTCCTTCTTCCTGTCCTGTGCAAACCTTGATTGTATCTGTAAATAAGACCACAATTCTACTTGTACCCCTTGTGATGCCAATTCTAATCCAGTTTTAATCTCCCCCTGTCTGTTCAATAACTCTTTATATGTAACAATATTTTCCATATTAATTAAATTTGGGTGTATATATGCTTCCATCGTAGATAGCCAAATGGGTGTTTCGGAATAGTGATCATGTTTAATTTTGTTCAATATTAATAATAGGACTGTCTGATACAGTGTCCAATGAAATATTTATGTGCAGATCCTTTTTCATACCACAGGAAGGCATGCCAGGTCATGACCTTCCAATTTGAGTGATCTTTTATTTCTCAACATTATCCATTCTTTTAACCATGTTGGTAAATCAACCAGGTACATGAGCTTTAACTGCCAGATCAGAAATAGCCATTTTAACCCATTACAGAGTTCAGTTTACAATTGTGCATTATTTAATAAATATAAAAAATGTTGTAAGAATGGCTGTGGGGTGACAATGTTTCAAAACACAGAATACATGTAGCTTTCCATATCACTAGTGATTCAACATCTGTTGCCATGGTGGCTGACCTGAAGAGGAAAAGGCAAATCCTAATTGTAGGTATCAGAAATAGATAACTAAACCGTAAAATGGACTGGCAGGGAAGATGAGGAGAGAATGCTGGTGCAACAAAAAACTTTCACATCCACCCTGCCTGAAAATGCTACCGCATCCATCCATTTGTGAATCAATTTCTGCAGGAAAAATACAAGCATTTTCTGGCATTTTACATTCTGGTTGATCTCCACCTAAGAGAAGGGCAAAAATGATAAAAGTCTCATCAGTTTCATCCCAGCTCCCTTTTCCTCACTATTGTACTTGGGGTAGGAATAGCATGCAAATATTTTCAGATCAATTCAATTGCATTTTAAGGTAGCATCAGCAGGTATACATTTCTAGTGGTCTTGTTTGTTTGAATTGTTTTAAAAATGAATAGCTACTATACAGCTACTACCTGTGAAGCTGTCATGCCACCTTTCCTCTTGAAAATGAAATTTAAAAAGAAATAAAAAAAATAGAACCAATGTTCTCTTTCCTGCTCAACAGTATAAGATAGATAGTTGGTCAAACGGTATGCATCCAGAAGGATCTTCCAAGGTGACCCTGGGCTATGATGGATACCCCAGACTAACACAGTTCAGATCTGCCAACCCATATTGGATCAATGTGGCATATTCCTTCCACATGCGGATTGGTTGGAAACATGCCTTCATCCTGCAGTGGATAGACAATGGCTAAAATGATGATGATGAATGATGATTCTGGCTACATTCCAATAAATCCTGAAATCTGTTCTTTGCTTCCTTAGATCTTGTTCCTGTGTGGCTTGGCTGTTATAATTGGATTAAGAAGAACTTTTGGATTCTTCTTCCAAAAGCAGAAGCTTAAGGGAACCAGTTTCTTTCTAGGAGGCATAATAATTGTTCTGTTTCGGTGGCCTCTACTAGGCATGCTGCTGGAGACCTATGGTTTCATTAATCTCTTCAGGTGATCAATCCTCCTAAAACCATTGCATCTGCTATGGGAATTTGTGTATGTTTTGGATTGCACTAATTCTCTGAGTTTGGTTTTCAGTCAAAAGAATGGAGTGGAAGAACAGGGATTGAAGGAGAGCTTTTTGTTCTCTAGCCATGAATATTGGGCATTGACACACTGACCTGCAGAGTTGCCAATCAACACCCCCCCCCAAAAAAAAGAAAAACCACTACAAAAGATTAGGGAAATCTGAAAAAAGAGGGGAAAATAATCATCTGCATTCTGCAAATGTAAAACCAAGCTCTAAGAATTGATATAATCCAATCTGGAACTACATATATTTTGTAACATAAAATATACATAATTAACTCCATGTATTTGTGAATTTGATAGCTTCTTTATGTTAGTCAATTGGGGATGATGCTTTTAATTTTGAATATACATTGTGCTTATATTGTCTTTAACTTCTGATAGCTGCCCAGAATCATGTTGGGGAGATGGAGGTGGGCAGTTTTAACTTTGAACAAAAAGTATTCATACTGTCACATCTGATTTGGATCTCAAATTCATTTCCAGCTGAATATTTTCCTCAGTAATTAACTTTTTTCTTTTTTTTCTTTAGGAGCTTTTTCCCAATTGTTTTTGGATTTCTGGGATCACTGGTGAATATCTCATTTTTGAACAAGGTAAAGAAAAGCTGGGGTGATCCTGTGAGAGACAGGATTAGAGCGAAAGAAATGTTGCACCCTCTAAGCAGCCTGCCCTCTTCCATTGGCCCCTTACTGACACATTGGCTATGTCTTTGGCTTATTTAGTTGAGGATTCTGGGAGACTCATTCCAACACATCTGGATAAAGGTCATTGGGCAAAGCTGCCCTTAAAAGTACAATAGGAGACATTACTGAAACAGTTATTCATGCCCTGGCCACTTCATAAACTGACTACAACAATGCATTCTATGTGGGTCTGCCCTTGAAGTCTACCAGTAAGCTTCAACTACTCTAGAATGCAGCAGCTTCAGAGGTGGTTTGCTGCTGGTTCGGCCCGGATCAGCCAAACAGGTAGTAGAAGTGGTGGGAGGCTCCGCCCACCCACCCAGACAATTCTGCACCTGCGCATGGGAGCACACCCAAACAAGTACTAACAAAATTGGCAACCCACCACTGAGCAGCTTGTGTAGCCGCGGGCATGACTCAAGATGTTAATGTAACACTTCTGCTTTGTGAGTTGCACTGGTTGCCAATTTGCTTCCGGATGTGATTCCAAGTGCTGGTTACTTGGAGATAGGCACAATATTGTGCCTATCTCCCACAATATTGGAATAACCAATTCAGGCTGGCACAGATGGCACATTATGGGTTCCTTTAATTAAGCAATGGCATCTATCCAGACCCCAGAGGGGCAGCTTCTCTTTTTGCAGCATCTGCCTTTTGGAACAGTGGTGGGTTTCCATTTTTTTTATTACCGGTTCGCTTGTGCTGGGCCAAACTAGCAGAAACCAACTTCTGTTTTGGAATGACATTCCCCCTGAGATTGAATGGTTCCCACTCTGCTGGTATTTTGAAAGGAGCTCAAGACCTGGCTGACAATGCTGGTAGAGATGAATTCACAGCTTCGTATTTTTCATTGATGGTTCACTAACATAAACCCTGTGCCATTCAAAACGCAGACATTTTTCTATTGATCTAACAGGTAGATCATTCCCACTGCATACAATGGCCTTAGCGGTGTGATCATTAATTGAATCAAACAAATGTAATCTGTCCTATAGCTTTGTTCTTTTATCCTAGGTACTGTGATTTTCATTCCATCATATAATTCTTTATAAAATTATTAGTATTTTTTTCTTGTTGCAGCTGTTTCAGAAATTTGGAGACACCGGCTCTGCAGTGTAACTTCAATGAATGACTTGTCACCGGAGACAAGTTCCCTTCTTACAAGCACAGACATTTTTTATGAATAGCCTGCTACCTCAACAGTGCATGTTATTTAGTGCTGATTTAAATAATTTATATGATCACTGTCAGAAATGTGCAAGGTAATTGGTAGAATCATTTCTTGTAAAAGGGGCAATTATAATAGGGTTTCCACCTTGTGGTGCTGGTTTATACATACTTGATTGTGACAATGCTGTGTCTTTTAAATATACAAAAACATACCTCGATGTTCTTCAATACCTGGAAGTATCACACGTTGGGTAACAAGGGCTTGACAGCAATGCATCCAGAAATGTCAACTTGATTGTGGAAAACAATATTCAAGCAAGGACTAACACACAAATTGAACTACTTGTATAAAACTAAAAAGAAAATAACTAATATTTGATTTTATCTAAACTACATAGAGAATGGGAAACAGGAAGCTCCCTTTGTCTCTTAAAATATAAAGATCCCCTTTATTAATAATAGGCCAGGTGAAAAACACAGAGGCAGAATATAAAAATATTTCCTCCTTCCCCTCTCTCTTATTTTCTCTGCCCCCTGTTATATCTTTTGCATTAGCAATAAAAATTATGGATGCAGTGAGCAGTCTCCGGCAATACTACCCCAAGGCCAATAATTTATATTATCTTCAGCTCTTTAAAATCTCTATCCAAAAGAGACAATAGAATAAAAGAAGGGAAGGACTTGGAGAGATAAAATTAGAAATAGTAATTTAGCAGATTTTTTTTTAAAGTAGAGTATAACAGAACAACATTTAAATACGTCAATTTCCCTAATAAATTTTTGCTATTCTTTTTTCTGTAGGCAAGTTCAACGGGAAAATATATTGGGTACAAATATTGTTTGGGTTTCCTATTTCAAATCTTATGACAAAAATGATGCAGGGGAGAGTTTTTGTATAATGTATATTTTGCAATACATTTTATATATCAAAAGAATATTGGATTTCCAGTGCAACTTTGTGGTCTTTGATGTTAACTGAGTGGAACTGAAGAAGCTTCTGGGATGAGAAGTGAAACATTTTCAATGAAAGAACCAAGGTAGTCCAGTTGCCTTATGAAAAGTAACTTTGGGGCAACCGTGATCTGGATAGTAGAGAATCTCCATAGACTTTGATACAAATATTTTTTTCATTTTTAACACTGCTAAATTGTAAAAGTAAATTAATGAAATGTCATCTCAATCTCTGTATGCGTTAGCTCACCAGACAAATAATAGTTCCAGAAAGGCAATCTCCAAGCCATGCCAGAACTGCGCTTCCTGTTTTTTTTCTTCCCAATAAAGGGAGAACTTGGGTAGTTTGGTCAAAACTGCGCCTTTACGGCCGATCCGAGGCAGTGGATCCAGGAGGGTTCCTTGGTTTACTGAGGAACTCCGGGAGATGAAGCGTCGAAAGAGACGCCTAGAGCAACGATGGAGATCCAGTAAGTCTGAGTCAGACCGAGCGCTTTTAACATCCAGCATCAGAGCCTACCTTCGGGCAATTAGGACGACAAAAAGATCACACATTGCCTCTCTGATTGCTTCCGCTGAGTCGCGCCCAGCCGCCTTGTTCAGGATAACCCGTTCCCTCCTAAACAGGAGGGATACGGGCGATCCTTTGCAAGGCAGAGCTGAGGATTACGTCCAATTCCTCACGGATAAAGTTGCTCGGCTTCGGATGGACCTGGACTCCAATTGCGCAGAGCCAGCCGAGGCACCAGGGGAGAATCTGGATGGACATCAGTGGATTGATTTTCAAGCTGTTACCCCTGAGGAAGTGGACAAGGCCATGGGAGCCGTAAGTGCCTCCACATGTGTACTGGACCCTTGCCCCTCGTGGCTAGTTGCTAACAGCAG